TCATCTATTCAATTCACTTCATGTTGTTTTACTTATATCTTCCGATTGTTATTTAGGACTGCAATCGATTAGTCTCTTGTTGGCATATGTGCCTCCTGTGTGGACTGCCTCGATATTGTCTTATGACACACAAGCATTCTAATGAAAGATGGATGATGATGGAAAGCAGTGGAAAGATACAAGTAAACAATGCCAATTGAATTTAAACTTCCTTCCATCACACTAGCAAATGACTATCAGGACACAGTAACTAAGTGGATAACATGATGGCGTTTGAAGTGGACAGTGGTGAGTTCGAGTCTCAGAGTGAACATTAACACGTCTGGGATGCAGGTACATCCAGTTGACCAATTCCAGATAGATAGTAACGTGTGTCCTGCATTCCACTACTAACCACTATTCATCTTTACTTATAAAGCTCATATATATTCAGTTTGAATAACACTACAATCTATCTAAATAGATTCCTGAGAATGTTTTGTAGCCATCAATAGACAAATAAGTTGGCAAATGTTGTTTATTCAATATCAGAAATATGACTTGAGTTAGTTTAAACGAATCATTTTCTTTTGTTTTCATTTCACTACTCATTGGTCAATCAATAATGTTTACTGATGACATAATAAAAGCACGAGAACAATGCGAATGAGACAGAGACAGAGAGAGAACCGAGAGAGAGCCGGTCGAGAGACACAGTGAGAAAGAGAGCGAGAGTGGTTCCATTCAAAATGTACCTTTCCATATTACTCTGTATAAACATGTTCTTCTTGCCTATTCATTCATTTCGACCATCTTGTAAGTCAAACGAATATGTTGTATTGTATGTTTATAAACATTTTTCCTCCATTGGTATTCTATTTCACGAAATGTAATTGAACATGCACAAACACACACACACACACACACAGAGTGAATTACAGAATGTCTTCATGTAATCTGAATAGCATACAGTATATGTGTAATTCATTAGGGAAATGTAAAATGAATCATCCGAGATGCATATTGTTCCTTCAGTTTCATATGCGATCACTTTCTGTGGACATTCCATCTTTGTTTGATGGTACATACTATTTATATCTGTCGACATGAGTAGTATACAGAACAGTTTGTGCAGTTTATTGCCATCACTAAGACATTGACGGTAAAGATTTTGAAATAGTCTATTGAATAAACTAATCTGTTTGATTCAATATCTGAAATATGTGATTGGTTGATGCATGAAAGAACAATAATAACGCACGTTATACATCATCATAAATTGGTAGTTCGCAACTTATCGGAATATAAGTGAACCATTGAAATTTATTTGAAAACATAAATATTGGCAAAAAGGGGTTACACAAGTCACTTGATTTATGAGTGGATTGTGATACTACTCGGGAGCTGAGACAGGTTCAAACGGTTTTGATAGGGGAACACATTCTCAGCCTTTGACCTACAGGTTTAATCCACTACACAGTGGAGTAATGTAAGGGGAAGATGTATCACGGTAGCCGCTGATCAATAATTGATTCATATGCCATTTCTTCCTTCAGGTTCTTGAAGACCATGTAAGTAGTATGTATCACCATCAATCGAAAGTGAAATAGCTGACGGTAGAAGGTTAATAAGATCGAAGAAAGGAGAACAATAACAGAGAATGACTGGTGTTGAAACGAAAGAACCCCACACAAAAGAGCATAGGCCTCCAACCAACATCATTACATAACTCATTATAGCTAAATCATCTGCTAGTCATTTCGAAGAAAACTATAAATGTTAATGTGATTTTTGTTTTCAGCTAATTTTGGATATGTGCGTAAAACTATTGAAGATCTAATAAAAGAAACCAAAGGTAATCAATTAATCAATCGAAATGGGTTACATATTCGTAATCTTACAATGAATCATTATCATTGAATATGAGAATGGGTTTTGTGGATATTCTTGTAATTTTAATAGTTGAGACCGATTGAGTCAATTGAGATAGTCAGTCAATGAAGACAATGGTGAATGTGTTGCTCAATTTCTTGGATTAATTGAAGTTAGATGTCGGTTCAGTGGTGTAGTGGTTAAGCGTTCCCATGCGACACAGATAGATGTTGGGTTCGAATCTCGTGAGACGGGATCGTGGATGATGGTGGTCTAGCTTCAATGGATTCATGAATTCAACGATTCAGATCATTCTTTAAGTAATCGATATGTTTGTGATCAATCATTTTTGAGAATTTCGATGTTCATTCTATGGTTGTATGTTATATGGAAGAGTATGATTTTGACTTGGAATTTTTGTTCTATGAGTATGATTAGCAACCATTTTTGTGAGTGAAATGTTCAAGTCAATATTTATACTTACTTAATTAATTAATTACTTGTTGACTTAAGCAAGTTATTCCTCGTTGAGGAGCATAGACCGCTCACCAGCATTGTTCATCCACCTCTGTTCTTTCCTATCCTTTCCAGCTCCTTGTTTTTATTGTCTCCTTCTAATTCTTGATGTAGTGTGTGTTCTTCAGCCTTCTTCCTCTTCTCTGTTTACTTTCAAGAAGATTTGGTATCTAGTCAACCGATAATACTGTTGTCATAGTAACTACAGAATTGATTAAATAGGAACACTTATCAATACTATTTCATCTAGTAACATCATTTCGTTTTGTTTGTTATTCCCCTAAAGTAACATGATCAATATTCTTTTCTTCTATTTTGATATTTAGATCAGCTTCCTGTGCTTGAAAAAAATATCAGAATAGCAAAGGATCAATTGAAAGGACAAAAAGGTTATCTTATGTCTAATAAGTAGTATATATTGTTTGTTTTAAATTTTACCTTAAATCTATAATAATGAATGTAAGTAAACAAACATTGAACAACTCCATTGAAGAAAACTTGAATCATCACTATGCAACCCAATAAGTAAAGTGTAATTGTCCTTATAAGTTAGAACAATTTTAATCTATATCATTGGTGATGGAGAATATTGGTAGGTGGTAGGCTATGCTCCTCCTACATTAAGGGTAACAGGCATAAGGAAGTAAGTCATTGATGATGAGTAGTTTTAGTGTAGGATGTTTGTAATTGAAAAGAAAGATCATGGGTTCGATCCTTTTTGTTGGGGTCGTTGAGACACAGTGTTGATGAGTTTCATGGAAGCAAAACAGACCCAGTTTTCTAGTGTAAACCATGAAAACTAGAATATAGGTTAATGAGAATGATGTTTGTATTTCATCTAAAGGACCATATCTTGACTAAATCGTTTCAAAAATTATGAATAGTAGATTGATATAAATAGTTTGTATATGACAAGTCGTAATTAATATTAAAATTGAAGTGAATTATGCATGATATACTGGTATAATACATGTGAATCATAGATATATAGTAAGATGTGATCCACATGGTTGGAACAATATCTGATATTAATCATCATATGAGATCACTCATGACTGACTTCAGTAGGTAGGTATTTCCTGGAGTTCTAGTGAGAAGGAGTAACCACAGTGGAATTCAATCAGATCTTTTGTGAGATAGTAACTCACTAAAGACAATGGTGGACGGTGGTACAGTTTCGTTGATTAGCTCAAGTTAGACATCAACACTATTGAATATCGACTCAGTGGTCTATAGATCGAACGTTCGCGAGCGAGTTCGAAGATCCTGGGTTTGAGTGGTTTAGGTACAGGACCGTGGATATGCACCAGTGAGAAATCCCATACTATAACGAAACGATCGTTTAGTGCTTCCAGGTATTCCATCATGATCTATCTCGAAATGACTCATGAATTCAACTATTCAATATAAATATAAATAACTGATAATGTTGAATCATGTTAGCAGTTTCAATAAGATTAGAGAGATTTCAATAGACATAACAACTAACTCTATCAAGCATAAAAGTAAATGCCCCCCCTTTTTATCTTTACTTTCTGTTTTGTTTTTATTTATTAGATCTAATCAATAAAAAGTTGAAACATGGAAGTAAAACTATCGATCAATGTAGGTGAAATAACGAATAAAATGTGTTATATAATCATGATTCTTAATTGTAGTTATTAATTGTGCTAGTAAATTAAATGCAGGTCAGTTGGGATTAAATGGTATAACAGGTATGAATACAAAATTGAAATTGATTATTTTGCATGACTGATGTATTATTTTGTTACTTTACAATGTGGATTTAAAAGATTCCCATTATTACTCCACAGGAAACGGGTTCGGATCCGTCAGGGAGCACTAGTTCCCTCAAGATTGCAGGTACACTTTGTTGACGAGTGCCAAATAGCATGAAACACGGGTTCAGGGTTTCCTATTGACTACTCCTAACCACCATCTAATCTCAACACAGTGCATGTAATGTCCAGTCACCTAGACTAGAGGCCACATTGAAACTTGGTCGATAGCATTCGATTATGTTACATAATGTATTAAAGAGGAGAAATTGGTAGCGGGGGAGGAAGATTTGTAGCTCAGAGAACAAAACTTTGTCAAAAATGGAGAAACATTTCTGTTGTAAGACAATTAATGAAGAAGTAACATAGAATAAGAAGTTGGTTATGGAAGTGAAAAGTATAAGATCCTCACATGACAAAGCGAATGTTCAACGCTTTAACCAAGTTGGTGGATATGAAGGATACATCTAGCGGAGTTGGAAATCTCTCACTTAAAACCAATGATGCACATTGGCTCCATGATCTTAAGGAAATAAATAACGTTTGAACCAATCGTTTGCGACCGGCTGCCATGAGATTGCATCTCCTGGCATTACTCAGACATGTAGATCAAAGGTTCCGGGTGTGATCCACTAAGAAAATCATCTGCTTCGGTTTGTGCATTCGGGCACTATCATAGCTCACTCACAAATCAAATAATTTATGTAGCGAATATGTATTTGGTACCTCCTTGTACCAATGTATATGGCTTCAAATAAATAAGTAATATCTCACATGAAACATGTTCCATAACGAAATAATCATATTTGAAGCCATTTTATTTGGTATCGGTTTACTTTTTCGAATGTTTTAGATATGAGAAACTTAATGACAGATGAACGAAAAAAATACAATCGTAAGTTTCCTCATATTAACATAAAAGAGATTTCATAAAGCATTTATGTATGTTGTGTATTGCGTGCAAACTCCCTGGACAGCCGAGAGTGGGGAGGGTCATCTCTCCATCTACAAATACTGTTACATGACCACAAGTATACAGCCATTGTCATAAAAGTCTTACTCACTGCCTTCTCGCGGCATTACTACTGTTTACGAGATTGAGAGCACAAAAAGTGAATGTCCGACGCTTTAAAGCGTCCACCAACCCGATGAATTCATCGGGTTGGTGGATATGGAGGATCCACCTGGGGGAGTTGGAAGACCCTGATTCAGAACTAATTATTATTATTATTATTAGCCTTATTCAACATTATATTTTTGGTACACTATTGAATTCCCGGCATAAAGTATTTCAACAAGTTTCCTTTTGTTAAATCTTGATCGATCCTGACGATAAATATTGAGTGTTTTCCAGTTAGATGTTAGGAATTCGATAATCGACATCTGAATAATGTTCATTCGTTTCAATGCATATTGCAAGCCACCATGATATCTCTGGTTGTACCTTTTTGTAATCCGTACAGCGAAAGGTTGTAAACTTTTCATAAACGCGCCTGAATAGGTTGTGAGCTCAATAAACATAACAGTGTGTTAAAACAAACAAGAAAACAGATAACTTGACGAAATATCTAGATGGGAGGACCAGGTAGCCCATATATTCAAGTAAACCGCCGATAGCACATTAGCTCCAAGGTCCTAAACGAATAAATGACATATGAAACAATTATTTGTCATCGGCTGCCATGAGACTGCATCTCCTGGCATTGCTCCACTACCTTACGGATCACACCTTTATGTCAAAGGTTCTGGGTGTAGACCGCTAGCAAGATCATCTGCTTTAGTCTGGGAACGCAGGCAGTATCACAGCTCACGAAGAAATCAAGTGACTTTTGAGGCACACATGTATTCGGTACCCCTTTGTTCCAATATTTAACTGTTCAAATCAATAAAAACATAAACGTTATGTATTACAGTAAATATATTGAGCAGGTATTTTATTACGACATACATTATTCTATGATATGATTATGTTGTAGAGATTAATAATCTTGTTGATTAGATGTTATTATTTGAACACATAAATATTGGCACAAAGGGGCACCAAATATATATGTGCCACACAAGTCACTTGATTTGTGAATGGACTGTGATACTGTCTGAGTGCTCAAACCGAAGCAGGTGGTTTTCTTAGTAGGCCAGTCCTCGAGCCTTTGATCTACAGGTTTAGTCCACAAGACAGTGGAGCAATGTCAGGAGATGTGATTTGTTCCTTCAGGATCCCGGAGCCCATGTGCACCATTAGTTTGGAAACAGGATTTTCCAACTACCCTAGGTGGATCCTCTATATCAAGCAACCGAATTAAAGCTCCGGACATTCAGTTTTCGTGCTCTCACTTTCGTCGACAACACCCTGGTTGTGAGAAGACAGTGAGCAGGACTTCTCTGGTAATGATTGCATGCATGTGGCCATGTGAGAGCTTATGTAGAGGGAGATCTGACTCACCCACCGTCGGTCATATCAGGGCATTTGGGGGCACTTCTTTGTATCTTTATAGACTTTTCACTAACCTTTCATTTCATTCACGCTACATAGAATACAACGTCGAGAAATCTGAATTATGGACATCATGTTTTGATGAACAGGAGAAAATCTTTCAAGGTAAAATCTCTCATTCAAATAGACAATCACAACTATGTGTTTCTTGTTTGATTGATTGAATAATCTTCTTCTAATCGAACGTAGTTATTCAAACATCGTATTTTAGAAATATCTCATACTTGTCATTGCTTACACCAAATCATCTCATAAGGTATTGACTAACTACTATTTGATAATCTCAATAGATGGAAATACTTCACAATGTGTGGATTGATAATCCATAACATAATGATGACATGTAGATGATTGCTTCTTCACTATACAATCCACAATCAAATGTGATCAAAACGATCTAACGAAGATCACGTAGGATGAATTAGATAGATAGATAGATAGATAGATAGATAGATGAAGAGATCCTCCTTCAGTTAATCATCTAGAGACTTGTTAACCATAATGTTCAAGAAATCATACTGGCAAGTGATGAAATAATAATCTGTAACTGTAACTGATGAGAGATTGTGCATTTCATTCCATGGAAACAATAATCAACTCCTTCATCAATATTGAGTCTACTGGTGCTCATCACATGACCAGTTTCTGATTAGATGATGGATTATCTATAATGGTATTATGTTTAGAAGCAGTATTAGTAGTAGTAGTAGTAGTGGTAGTAGTATTCATGAAGCATTTTATAGAAAGCCAAGACCATCTAAAATACAATAATAAAAACGGTATATTTCCAGTAGATCAACGAACCTTTTCTTTTGCGTTGTCTAGTAGCTGTGTAGATCTAGCCTGAGGGTTGCTAGAAGAGTTCATGTTGCTGAGGGTGCCTAGAACAACACAGGGAAACCGAATCTAGCGGTCAATTAGTTAAAATTGATCAACTCCTTCATCCATATTGAGTTTAATCTTTTGTTGTTTTCTATATTATTATTTTCATATTTGAATAGAAATGAAAGATACTTACACTGCACGTATTTGCAGATCATATATACCACCTAATGGTCAAGGTAATTTTCAGTAGTATATCATGAATGTTTCTTTTACTTTGAGTTAGTTAGTCAGTAACAATGTACAACTTTCTACGTACGTACATCAGTTCGAGTTGCCAACCACATTAGCACAGAGATTCAGTTGTCAGTTCAAATCCCGTAGTGATAGAGGTAGGAAGAGTATAAGCAGTAATCGGAAACATTAAAGATTGAGGATGTCATGCGGGATTCGAACACAGGTTCTACTGGTTTGGCGCGCGAGCACTTAACAACTAGACCACTGAGCCGGCATTCAACGGTGGTAATATCTAACTTCAACTAATGCACGAAATTGAGCGGGATCGTGGATGCGCACTGCTGAGGAGTCTCACAAAAGGATGAAACGGTCGTCCAGTGCTCCCAGGTTTTCCAGGGTGGTCTAGCTTTAATTGACTCATGATCTCAACAGTTGAAATTACTATAAATAGATCCTTGCCGTTACCAAACATTCACTCTTCGTTCGGATATAATAATAATAATAATAAATAGATTTGTACAATCGGATTTCATTGAATCCATTCGGTTCATTGTCAATAGGAATGGGATCTTTGAAATAAAATAGATTGATTCACAGAATACTTTCTTGTTTTGTTTGTTTTTGTTTTCTAGATATTATCAATAAATTTAATGAAATTATACCTGGCATGGAAATGAATATTCGTCATTACAATTTCCATTTATGTAAGTAAAATTTGTAGATTTATAAATATAATCTAACCAGGTTAGTAGATAGTAGTGGAATCCAGGACACTGGTTTCGTCCTATTTGAGAATCATCAGCTGGATGTATCTGTAAATCAAAGTTGATGTTTACTCTGGGACTGGAACTCAGCTGACGAGTCCCAAATAGGACGAAACGCCGGTACAGGATTTCTTGTCGACCACCTCCAACCAATATTCTATCATCGAGTATCATTATACCAAAACTAAATGGACTTCAAGAAGTTCATCAGAAGAAGAATATCCTTCTACGTCCTATACTTGATATGATCAACTCTCCGTATCACTTGATCACTACATCGTTAACTGATATTTTACAACCCGATCAAAATCATATCAATAAATACAACACTCTTGATTCATTTGAACTTGTCAACTCAATTAGTGGAATCAATATAAATAGTAGGAAAATGATCTCAATGGATGGTACTTCTCTCTTAACAAATGTTATTCTTACAGACAGTATATATGTCTTTTATGTAACTATACTGTAATTTACAACTTTGATATTTGGATCACAAAACATTATCTCAAAGAGATTCTTCTTCTTCTAACATGTACTCTCAGTATGCAATTGCGATTTATGAATGAGTTCTGTAGATAAACTGGATAGAGTTGCAATAGGTTCACCATTGAATCCACTCTTCACTGATTATTTCATAAGCAATCTCGAAGATACGGTACTTTGACCTATAATTGAGAATTTTCATGGATGATGAAGAATACATGGACTTCATTGCTTAATCTAATCTACACCGAAAGCCGACTACATAAAGCCATACAGCTTAATTCAATGATAACATTCAGAAATGTAACTGCTACCACATTTTCATCATGTTCTTAGGGTGGTTCCATCATTGATGACAGATAGAAATAGGCATACTGAGATAGTCTAATCCGTATTATATTCTTACAATTACACAACATATTAGGCTCCATTTGGAAATCACTTTTAATGTGAAGTAATTTGCTATTTTCTTTGTTTACAGTTAAATATCGGTTGCTCTTGGATATTGCCAATGAAATGAAGAAACCAAAGTAAACAGTTGAGTGACCCATATTTTTCCCCCATTATACTCATGAATATATATGTCATATTGTAGTGAATGATAGTGAACATCAAGTGAGGACAATCGAATGTATTTGAATAGTTAAATTACAGTAACACTAAATAGAATCTGAGAACCACCATATAGTGAATAGTTCATTCCACAATATGTCAATCAATCGTCTCAGACTTCACTGGTACTTCGTTTCCACCATCAATCATTCACTGTTCTCATTCTCCTTTCTTTGGTTGATCTTCTTAACTGTTTCTCTATCACCAGACATTTCACTTTCGATTGATGATGATGATGATGATACATACTACTTACTTATATCTGTCGACATCAATAGTACACATCATAATTTGAATGAACGAGTTACACTTTACGTTGCATTCAGATGACTATGAATAACTTCAAGTATAAGTGTTTTGTAGGTGTATAACATTCAGAACACTTTGAAACATTCCATATAAGATACTCATTGAAATACATAATCATTGACTTAAATGATCAATAATCATCTGATTGTTTCATTCATTTCAACAACACATCTCTTCATCATTGAGTAAATGTATGTTAAACCTCTTAATGGTATGTTTATGAAATGTAACAGTGAACACGTTGTATATGATGATTACTCTTCTAAATGAACGTTAGATTCGCTTGCTAAACTCTTCTAGTAATCCCCAGGCTAAATCTACACACTGACTTGAACATGAGAGAAATGGCGTGAAATATGGAAGAAACAGTTTACTCCAAATGTTCGTTTATGTACAGAATATGTAGAGTATGTATAGTAATTTAGATGACCTCGGGATTCCGGAACACTGCTGAACATAGTAGCAGGATGTGTGATCCCCCAATCAGAAAAGGGACATGTGACTCTTGAGTTTCTAGATATTTCTAGCAAACCGTCTATGGGATGCTGATTGGATAAGATGCTTCACAGTATTGTCAGAGTCTTCTATGGCTTTATTTTGAGGTGTTTTCTGGATCGCCTCACACAGTATAGAATCCGTAACGCTGTTTTATTTATTTCCTTTTCAGATAATACACAGAAGAAATGAAATGAAACTTCAGTATTACTAACCAGTATTACTCACATTCTTCAATCATCTGATTACACTTTTTTTTTGTTGTTATAAATAATCAATTTAATGTAAAACTACAAAAATAATCTGTCCATTTTAAATCAATAAACAAACAATGCTCACAACTATTTGGATCTATGTCTTTTCATTCTAAACGAATGGTACACATGGTCTCCATTATCTTGAATGAACAAATGGCATATGAACCTATTGTTGGTCACCGGCTATCATGGAACTGCATCTCGTTACGATGCTCTACTGCGTTTTGGATCAGGCCTATAGGTCAAATGGTTGGTGCGTGGCCTCCTGAGAAAACCGCCTGCTTCGGTTTAGGCATCAGAGCATTATCCCAGCCCTTACATAGACCAAATGATTTGTGTGTCGCGTATGTATTCGTCGCCTCCCTGTACCAATATACATGCACTCAGAGTCTTCAACCATTGGTTACCATAGTCACACAGACCTCAACCATGTAGTCTGCATCTACCAACATGGCTAAGACTAGGGATAAAATGCTTAAACTTGATGATTATCGCATACACTGTTAACAAAATTTCAATATTCAAACCGAGTTTCAAGTCGTCACTCTTCTCCACATTCCATCGTGATTAAGACTGAATTAAAAATTCCATCAAAACATCAATTTAAATTTGTTCGCACAAGCTACAACACTGTTGAATAGATTTTTAGTAAACAGAGATCTGACTCCATTTAGATCGTATTAATGGTTGTCATTGAAATATACATGTCGCTAATACTTGTATATATTCATCGACTTAAATCGAGTCGGTGAATAATGTAATTAAATAAGTCAAATACGAGAATGGATTTTGAATACGTATATGTTAACAACGTTCGCCTGGAGCCCCTCTATGGCTACTGCCGGTCACAAGCTCAGGTAAAGGAGCGGGGATTGGCCATGGGGTTAGTGACCCCATCCCGTAGCAATCTAACTCCCTAAAAAAAACACTAACCAGAAAAAATTATTCAAAATGTGGTTTTGGTAGAACGAATAAATTGGCCTGTCTGGAAGCTCGAATAAGCTATGTGGGCTTAATATAGCAACCGACATTACAGATTTCAATTAGAATAGTAACAAAACACCCCATTCATTCAAATGTTACTAAGGGAAATCTGACCGAAGCTACACATTGTTACAAAAGTCACAAATTACCTTGTACTTAATAAGCAAAATTACAGAAGATGAGTTCATTTCCATTTACACATTTTTAATCTATGCCGTTGAAAGTCATTAGAGAACGTATGCTAAAAAACTCACTACAGGTAGGAGCAGGAGGAGGAGGACGACGTTAGTTGTACCACGACTTGATTACTGAGAATTATAAATTAGCATTTCTGACAACTGCCACCAAACATCAAACATTAGTAAATAAGCTTCTATTACTACTACTACTGCTACTACTACTACTGCGAAAGATACATTACACTGTTTAACAAGAAACAATTATAGTGTCTGTTATTATGTTAAGCCCATATAACTTATTCTGGCTTTCGGACTGCCCATTCTATTCATTCTAGTTGAGTTACATTCTGACCTTGTTAATTACTCCCTTATCAATCTTGACTGTTCTTATATGAGCGCGTAGGTGTGTGTACACTTCTTATCCCATTACTCATCACAAGTATGTAACTTAGTTTTGTGGAACTATAAATATTGACTAACGTTTGGTTAAAGAGGAGTTGGCTTACACCCACTATCTCCACTGCGCGTCGTTTCTCTTCTCTCTGTTCCGTTCGCTTCATATACAAAATATATGCATCCAAAAGTCCACTCTCATCATTTGACTTATTCAATTCCGTTATTGACTAACGCGATTTAAGTCGATGATTGTATACGATGACAGGCGACTTATATATTTGAACAACCAACATTCATGCGATCTACTTGGAGTCAGATCTCAGGTCACTAAGGTGGAGAGCCCTTCGACAAAAACTTCCGATCGAAATGACGACAGAACAAAAGGGCCTCACAAAAAGTGGTGAGCCCACCGCTGCCGATGAACCTAACGGGACTCACACAATCAATCTTTACAACCATTATCAGAATTCAATCTATCAAATATGAATGTTTATTCTATGGATATGAAAATGAGAGTAAGGTAATCCTTACCGATGAATACAATTTTTCGCTTCTAAATACATCATTCCATTAGCAGCATCTAAACTCATTTGAAGTAGTTTCATAACAGGTAATGCATTTTTTGATTTACGTAAATGATTTAAAAGAGAACCACCTTAATAAGGAAGATAAAAAGAGAAACCAATAGATTAGAACAATATGAATTATTAACTGATCAAATGAAAAGAGTTAACATGATCCTCCCAATCAAGTGAATATATAGTTGCATATACCTAACTACTAACTATATGTGAACTTAATAACAGACAGATTGTTATAGAAAAGTCAAATCTCTATACGTCAACTACTGAATAATATTAAGTAGTATGATGTGATATACACAAAAAAGATAAACATTGAATGAAGACCGTGGAGTTGTCAAGTGAATAACTCACTCACTTCTATTTGACAGTTGTGCTGATCATATTGTCCAGAAAGCCCACAGAATGAAACAACAAAAAAATCAACTAATCACAACAGTAGATTCACTTGAATTTTATAGTAATTCACTTAAAAAGCGTTCACACTTTCCCATTGTTTATATACAAGATTAGATCAGTCAGCTATAGCATACATGGAAATTTAACAGAAACCTAAGAGCTACCTATAGTTTCATACTTTCGGTTGAGTTCTAAACCGCAGTTGTGAGTAAAATTCGACGAAAGTATTTCGTTCCATTTGGAACCAGTTGCTAGAATATATATATGTATTGTAGTGCAGACGTTTATAAACTAGTTTTTCAAAGTCATTCCTTTAGTTCTAGATTCATTTCATCCTTATTGAAACAATAATTTTCCTGTCACTTATCTTCATCTTCTACGAAACCATACTTGTTCCATTTCCAATGATATCCTAGCCAAATTCAACATATAGTTTGGTACATCAATGTAAAAGTCCCCGTTACGATACCACATTGAAACCATGGTAGCAAAATAAGATTAAGAATAGATCACGTGATTAAGATCAGAATTTATTCGGGTGAAATAAAGTAGAAAACGGTTTCGAAATTGGAGGTCCTGAGTAAGGCAAATATCAATTATGTTTACGCTATCTTTGTTTTTTTTACCGATTCTCAAACAAGGTACACAATGTTTATAACTGTTGGTTGAGAAAGTTGAGGGAGTATATAACCCGGTAGTTGTCATCTATTATTATGGTTCAAACTAACTTTCAGTGAATTCATGAGCTGATATCAAGTTACTAACTTATCGTCTATACGTTTTTTCGAATCTAATTGCAGACCAGTAAACGTCGTTTACGGTAGTCGTTGGATATGCGTAATACACGTTTGAACACGTCAGTTGCTGAAGATATGCTACTTCATCAACCACTCCGTATTTTTCAACAGTAACCCAAACGCTACTAAGTCGATGGTTACAGCATGCTAGACTAGCCTTTCAAAGACATTGATGGTCAACGTCCAACCATAAAATACTACAACCTTTCTCGTTTGAAAATGTTACTACTTATAGCTAGTAAGTAGTAAGAATAACAAATTAACATATATGATACAATTGTAAGCTAAACGATGAAATATGCTAGAATTCATGATGAAAAACATGTCAACTTCACCAACCTGGAACATACTCCATCACAATCATAATTGGATAAGATTGAACTGCAATACCAACTAATTTGACAATATTTGGATGATTGAAATTTAATGCAGTTGTTTCACCTTGGAGAAATTTCCGACGTAAATCTGATGCTGTCATATCGACACGACAAGTTTTCACTGCAACTTCATTTCCATTATATACACCACGGTAAACATCACCAAAGTTACCCTGTGAAAAGAGAGATGCAGAATAGAATAAATAGTACACTTTACCACATCAATACAGAAAGTACAAACGACTGACAGTTGTCGATTATTCCTTCGGACCCATTCATCTATGTATTAGAAAAGCGATTGGAACCAGGTGTTTCCTTTGTTGTAGCATGACCAAGAATTATCATCTGTCATTAGAGACATTCTAACAAGATCGAGAGTTGTGTATCATTTTCACAGTTCGGTCACAGAATTCTTCTATTCCATGATGAGATAATGTGAAAATAAACAAACAACCCCAATGCTTAATTCAGATCGCCAACATGAAGACAAATCTTGTCTCCAAATTTAAAACACAGAAATAAGGCGTCATGGCAGACGGCAGATAGACGTATCTAGAACATATGCCAATAACCCTAATCCATGAATAATCACATTCTGAGATTGATTTGGCACTGCAACACAATAACTTAGGCATAATGAATGGTAACTTTGCGATTCATATCGCAGAGGCTAAGATTGGTGTTCGGGACTTAAGTGGCTGGGCTAGGCGAGGCGGGAATCAGGACCAACAAGGACTCTAGGCTGCTCGCACGTGTTTTACGCATCCTCGGTTCGATCGATAATTCACTGCTCTCTGATTGGCGGTATTATTACGTTATCCAGTGATAGGGCACTCATTCCACAACTTATAACAATAATATAAAGACATTACAAAATAATAAACATAAGAATGATACTACTAATAAATCGGTTAATAATTCGTGAGTTCCAATGTCTTAAAAAACATACTTGACCAATTTTTTGTAGTAGTTGTACATCACGATTGTCTAGTTCCCAATCAGGTCTTGAAATTGGTGTAATAAGACATGCTCCTGATTTTGCTGTCACGGGAGTTTGAGTTTTCATATGATATTCAATCAGTTCTCTGGAAAATTTTAGTTATTAGGCATACACTAAATGTGATTATTCAAAGGAAATTTCAGAGCAGATAATAAACATTCAAAATTATATTCTATTGATTGAGTCCTTGCTAATTACACGGAGAATGTCAAAAATAAATACTGATAGATCCTGGGTTCGAATCCCATGAGCGGAATCCTGGATGCGTACTGCTGAAGTACATATAAATTACCTTTTAATTTACATTAGTTAATTCAATTCAACAATGAAAATTAACTTTAAAACATAACTTAGTTTATCAATTATTGAATGAGTTGATGTTAGATATTGACACCGTTGGATGCCAGATCTTTAGTCTAGAGGTTAAGCGTTCACACACCAGACTTAAGACCCCGGGTTGGAATTCTGCTTGCTGAAACTTGGATACATATTGCTGGGAAGTTCAAAATGGTGATCTAATATCAATCAGTTGATGATCTCAATCAGAAACATAGTAGTCTTCGCAACCCTATACTGTTCATTACCATGTGTTCACTAGTGACTCACTTCGTGAAGCAATTCTCTGAATTGCATTAGGAAACCATGACCAATGGAGCTAATCCGTGTAGGGTAGAGAAAGATATCTAACCCAGTAAATGGATGATGGTCGCGCAATTTCGTGGATTGGTCGAGGTCAGACATTATTACCGTTGGATGCTGACTCAGTAATCCAATGGTTTAGGCGTTTGCGCGCGAGAATAAGAGCACCGGGTTCAAATCCCGCGTGCAGGTCCGTGGATGTTCACTTCTGAACAGTCTCACATTAAGACAAAACGACCATCCAGTGTTCCCAGGTTTATTCAATAGTGATCTAACATCGATCGATTTATGATCTCAATTAAAAATATTTGAAATCAAATGATTCATTCAGAAGAAATATTTAAAGAATATTGTGTTTATCGTAAGAAATAAAAGTTCACAGTTCCAATACTTATGCAATATGTAACATAAATTTACATGATACAAATCACCATGAAATCCAGTTCCTGGTAATCCAAGCCAATCAGACTTTCATACAAATATAATTCATCAGTTTTTCTTAAACATACATATATATATATATATATATATGTATGTCATCCTATAAATGTGGTGTCCTAATTTAAGTATTTTCATCATTCTATTGTGGTATATGCTACTTATATTGACAGATATAAGTAGTATATAACACCGATGAGAAGTGGAATACCTGTGAAAAGAACAATAAAATGATTAAAATGAAGAAAACTAGAATGTAAACAGAACTGAAAGAGAAACACAAATGTTCAATATTTATTTCCCATATTGTCTTGTGTTACGGCACAATGCCACTACACATTCATTTATCTATATTTCAAATTTGTGTTTACTAATAGCCTTAAGTCATTCACCCATTTTTAAAGTGTTCAATGGTGAAACCATAACTTATAGATGACTTTTGACGGAATCTCAAGTGATCTTGAGATATATTAGTCAGTGAGAAAACAGTAAGTATAAAGTAAAAATATAGTAGACAAAGCTAGAGAATGAAAGTGGATACACTCCTTATACATCGTTCAAAATCTTGTAAAGGTTAGAATGAGGTTCAGAGATTCTACAGTCGTAATAGATACAGTAGAGGAACTCATCCATATGGCTCCATTATAGTTGGTCTCTGGAGCCATGATAAGATAGCAAAAACTGTTTCAGACTCGACCAAAAAGCTTCAATATTGTTTGTGTACACTCTGGTTGTTTGGTCCACAAAATGCCTCTTATTGACAACGACACCATGCACATGACCAAGTCTATGTAGGCATCTGTACACTCTACAATCATCCGTATATATTGTGGTATCCGGGTGCAGCGAGTGTTGTTGGAGCTATTATTATTATTAATATTATTATTATTATCCAATTCGCAACAATAATCATAATTTGTCTTGATCTCAATCCGGATTGAGTGAAAAATCTTCCTATTCTAACAGACTTCTTCCTCCAAGAGCGAAAGACAACTTCATCACGGTAGTCTGCACAAGGTCCAGTACTCATCTGATTACCACAATCATAAGTAAAGGAACTTCTTAATAATCCTATTTATTGTAACCGCTCGATCATCCATGAGCATCAAATACTGAAATTGGCGTCGTTATAGCCACCTGCTTGTGCAATGAGGTGAAATATATATTCACATTGCGCTATCTTACTTGCATGCTTCCCATTGTGATTTAGGACTGGAATTGATCAGCTAGTGGCTATCAGGACTCGGTAGCTAAAAGGATAACGTGATGGCATTTGAAGCGAACGGTAGTGGGTTCGAGTCTCAGGGTGAATATTAACTCTGAGGTGCAGGTTCATCAATGTGACGAGTCCCGAATAGGATGAAGCGTACCTACTGGATTCCAATACCAGCCACTATCCATCTTTGCTTATAGAGCTTGTAACTTAAGGCCAAAAAGAGATTGATCAATTGCAGTCCTAAACAACAATAGGAAGATACAACACTAAATGAATCTGTTTTCAAAATGACTTGTCACTCTATGCATCTTCAAATAATCTATTTATGATCTTCAATTGGGTGGCTTTTATCACAATAACATTTCTACATTGTAGATACATTTTGATTAACTATCTAGCGTCACTAACTCCGCCTGAAGCCCCTCTGAGGCTACTGCCGGTTTCAAGCATGGATGAAAGAGAAGGGTTGGGCATGGGGTTAATGATACCATCCCGTAGAAAGATAACTCGTGAAAATACGCTAACCAGAAACAATTATTCAATCTAACATCACTATCCAATATAAATCTGTCATTCATTATTACCTAACCAATGTAATACATTAGGAAATCATTTGGTAAACACCCTTTGATTAGAACTAATGAATCACAATGGATTACATGTTGAGATGTAATGGTAGTTGGAGGTAGTCGACGGGAAACCTTGAACCTAGCCAAAGTTTCACGTTACTTGGCACTCGTCAGTATGGTATATTTGTAATCTCGAGGGCATTTGAGAAACTTGAGAATTCATCCTTGACAATCTTTATACAACATTTTAAAAGTTATATTGATGTCAGTTTTGTGACCCGGTTTCAATTATATGTTCCGTTATCGATGAACATGGTTTTCTACCACGCACATTGATTAGATCATTTGACATTAATTGGTTTTGAAGCCATCTAAGTACATGTTCAATGACCCTTGATTGCATTGTTCGATTACTCCTCCATATGTATGCAAGTCCACTCAAACATGTAAATTGGTAAATACAATTGGATGTGTTGTAATTATTTGTGCATTGTCTAGGTCTATTTGAAATTATCGACCCGTGTTAAGTTTGCTTACATTGTTCCTACTTGTTTCCTTCCCACTCTTTTGTATATTGTTTTGTACTACTTATTTATATTCAGTAAGCAGTCGTATTCCCAACAATTTTTACACTTATGTTGTAACGCAAGTTGCAGTGTATTATTCTCAATTATTCACATATATTTATGACGTTTATTGTACTTATCATTGTATTTATCATTATAATTACTGTCCCTTAATCACTGTAGCGTTTATCCACAGTTTCTTGCATTTGTTTAAACTCAACAGTTTCCATATCGTTTTGCTCTTGGTTCGGGTTTCGGTTGTTCATAAACCGTTATCAAATTTAGACACAGCTATCAGCTGTCCTTTGTACTATCGTATGTTATAATTATTTTTTGTGTTACTGTTACAGGAACGCTTTTCATGTCATACTCTAAGGACGCGTTTAAACGCCACAGACACCTCACAAGTTGAGGTTTGTAACTAAATTTTGTGTATTATTCAATAAAGAACCGGTATTGTAGACAAATCGTTGATTTGGAACTTCGGTTTCGCGCGTATCTCAATCAGGTGAACAAGACGATTCAATAGATCTAACAACCAGAGTGTTCAGAATGTATAACGAAAATATATCATATTTTTTCAAATCAACTCCGTCTTCTCATTATTCTATCGGTATTTACAATTGATTGATCACTGGATGATGATCAATGTCATCTGTGTCAACTGTGCATAGGTTCTTGGTAAATTAACCAGACACATTTTTTGGAATTTACGAAATACTCTGTAGTTCTTTCATTTTACAATGGGTCCTCTCAGTAACGAATGAACAATCATTTACACAATAACGATTAAACGCATGTTCTTCAAGTCCTGTAGACTGTGAGCTTTCATTAGATCACTTACAACATATCGAACTGTTTCAATTTGTAACTTTTAACTTGTCACAATACTGCAAACTGATGTATGTTAGTGATGTGAACTACTAATTCTCATTAATCGAATCATCATAGTTTGACATTATAATGATAATCCATGTAATAAACCTGGTTGGAAATTCCTTCCAAAAGCTTAGTAAACTATTCTTTATTTCTGACATTATATGTATTGAGTACTGATGTAGTGAACAAGAACACAGGCAGGAGTCGATCGATTGTATTTGATTACAGGATTACAGATCACCTTACGAATATCTGAGAACCACATATTTCATTGTTGTTTCGTTTCTTCACCAATCATTCTCTGTCCTCGTTCTCTTTCCTTCGATCCTCTTCACATTCTGCTGTCAGGCATTGAACTTTCCATTGATGATGATGAAGATGATGATACGTACTACTTATATCTATCGATATTAGTAGCACATACCACACACCCATTGTATTCAGTGTAAACAATGATCTACAGATGATTTGAAAATAAGCTTGTAATGTACTTGTCAACGAACATGTGTACTATCAAGACATAATTGATTAGATTCAAATAAACAGAATACAATAATCCAGGGAAATGAATTCGTGTTGATTTTTTTCGTTTTTGTTGTTTCCTCAAAACGACCTACAACACGATGAACCAAATGAAGAGAAAATGAAAAATAAAAAAAAATAGACAAAAACAGACGATGATGTAATCAGATTATGCGATCGATCGATCGATCGATGTAAGAATAACATTTTGGGATGTTCACAATATAGTAAATCCAT